ATATCGTGTTACCAGCCCAAAATGGGGGCACACCACTGAGTAGAATGTATAATATGATTCCAGCACTCCAGATATCAACTTCCTTCCCGTATCTACGACGTAAGACTTCAGGAGCAACATAGTATGCACTCCCAACAATATCTCTATATACTTTTCCTGTAAAGAAGAAGAAGAAACAGTCAAATGATGATCAGTAAGAAACATCAAACGTTATCAGAGAATTATCTCAACAAACAAAACCGCGATTCATCAGTTCAAGAAAGGCCTGATCTTTATGCAATTCGCAGAACCAAGAAACACAAACACAAGCAATATAAACAGAACCTCTTGATGATCCATGACTTACCTATGTCCTAGAAACAATCAACTTCATCAATGATAGATAATTCAACTCAAACCAATAAAACCGAAAAAATCAGGAAAAACAAAAACAAATTTGTTCGCTTATTTATCTTACCCTCTTCAATGAAGACAGACAAGCCGAAATCAGTAGCCTTGATCAAAGCCTTCTCATCTTTACTGGAAAGCAAGAAATTCTCAGGCTTCAAATCTCTATGCAAGACACCCATGAAATGACAAATCTTGACAACATTCACAATCTGTCTACATATAGAAGCAGCTGCTCTCTCACTGTAATGTCCTTTAGCAATGATCCTATCAAACAACTCACCACCAGCACAAAGCTCCATCACCAGATTCACAGCTTTCTCATCTTCATAAGCTCCTTTAAACTCAACAATGTTAGGTTGTCCACTCAAATGCTGCATTATCTGAATCTCTCTCCTCATATCATCCTTATCAGCTTTCGTCACAAGCTTCTTCTTCGATATCGATTTGCAAGCGTACTTTTTCCCCGTCGAGTTCTCTGTGCAAAGATACGTTACTCCGAATTGACCTCGACCCAATTCTTTACCCAATGTGTAGAAAAGCTTCACGTCTTCGAAAGCGTTCTCTAGAATCGAATTGCTCTTTGTGGTTTTAGGGCTTGGTCCTGGTGCTGCAGCCGCCACTCTCCACGGTGGTGGTTGACTTGTCCCGGAGTTTGGTTTCTCCGGCGTATGACTTCTCGCTTGTGGAGTATACGACGGTGGATCTTGGTGACTCCCTCCTCCTCCTCCAACTTCGACTGATCTGTTGTTATGCCCATTTTGCTGAGGCTTCATCAATCCATGGTTCTTGGCAAAACAATTGCCCATGGTTTACAAAAAAAAAGCTTCAAAATTCCGACAACCCAGAGAAGAAAGATTGAAACTTTAGCTAAATTAGCTCAAATTCCGACGACCCAGAGAAGAAAGATCGAAACTTTAGGTAAATTAGCTCAAATTCTGACGACCCAGAGAGTAAAGATCGCAGCTTTTGAAGAAACAACAGAGAATTTTTTTTAAAAGTCAGATCATTTTTGAAATTGGGAGGGATATTATAATGTAAAGACGTGGAAGCATCAACTGAGCAACGCTTTCAGATAATATTACCTTAGTTTATCAAGCAAGATAATATAATGCTTCGCCAGATGGATTTTTGAAACAAAATGATTATAAAATAATCTGAGTGTTGAAAAAATTGGAGAGATGTAACATGAGAAGCATGAAATGAAGAACAAGTGGTGGTGTGAGTTGAGTTATTATAAGAGAGGACGGCTTTCTGGGCAATTTGTTTAAAAGTAATAATAGTCTAATATCAAAACCGAGTCAAACTCTTTCTTTATAGACTTTTTATAATTTTGGTTTTCTTATATTTCAATTTGATTGAATTATTCAACTGGTCAGATAAGAACACGATGTTCTTGTGTTCTAGAAATATCTGTAACATGTTGAGATCTGTGCAAATAACAAGAAATGAAAATTGATGTTTAGATTTGCTTACAGTGAGGAAGGCTTTTGAAGCTGTTTTTGTGTGTTTGTGCAGTGTGTAACATCATCTTCTGACATGTGGGAAAATAATAAGAGCATCATTATCCACGATATTCTTAAAATATCTTTA